AACACTGTGAATTGCAAGAAAATCTTGGCTGGTTTTTTGTTGCTGGACTTCTAGGCAGCTCCTCTAATAAGTTGAAGAAACTGTGTTGCTTGTTTAGAAACTTCTTTTCCATCAAGTCCCGCCCTGTGTCAGAGCCGGGCAGTCTGGAGGAAATGCACCATCCAGGCCTGTGGGAATGGTGAGAAAAATCCCAGCGTTAGTGGGGTGGCAGACAGGAACCCAGGATAGAGGTGACCTGACCGGTTGGGAACAGTTATCAGACAACCCTTGGAGCTCTTAGTTTACTTTTACAAATGGATTTAATATGTACATGTTATTTGGAGAAGAATGATTTCTCTAGGCTGCAATGAAATCTCCATATAAAAGACACAGGAACTCACCTATCCGTCCCCAAAAGGAGTTAATGAAGTCCCTCTCATACTCTTGATCCTGAAACTGCCCTTCACATGCTGTACACATTTGGCAAGAATTCTTTATTTGCTACCAAGCTGACTGAAACACACTAGTAGCCTTAACTTCGAGCTTGTGGCCGGGCGGTAAGGGCAGGAAAGTAAGTTCTCACCGTGTATTCATTAACTGGCACCCAGACTTTTTCCTTGAACCTTTCAGGCCCTTCCTGTTTGTGTCCTGTTCTGTCTCCTCACCTCCTTCCCAACCCACAAGAAAGAACAGAAGAAAAGTCGGAAACAGAGACTGAGAAAAACTGAAGACGAATTAGGGATATTCTCCTCCTCTAGAAGGAACATGCTTTGCCTTTGGTGCTACTTTCTATACAGGAAAGAGTGTGGGTGAGATGAATGCCTGGGAGGAGGGCTCCTCAGAATAATAACCTGTTCTCCCTCCTTGAGCTGCAAGGGGCTAATAAGAAGCAGAGAGAGACAGTTGCTTGTGATGAAGAGGTGGGAGTTGTGGATGTTGGGAAGGTCCGAAAACCCCAAAAACAGGAGCAGGGATGAATTAATGCACTTGGCAAAAGGCTGAATAAGTTACAACTTTTCCAAACCATTTTTTTATTAAAAAAAAAACTCAACAGTATTTCGTGACTTATTAAAGAAGCAATTAAAAATTATGCATGAAAAAAATTATGTATGAGTTGGTAATTGATGGGTCTCAAAATCAGTTTTTTTTTTTTTTTTTTTTTTTGCTTTCAAAATCAGATTACAATAATCTCTATCAGAAAGTGCATTTACTGATGACAGGAATGCAAACCGAAAAAGCCTGCGGAAATAATTCAAGTTCTTGAATAATGTCAAGAACATAGTTTAGAAATCACTGAAATAAAAATTTGATGCCTAAAAAGAAAAGAGAGCCCTAAATTGGTTTAGAGGTGTGGGGCTTTTCTCTTATTTCCTCAGAAGTTCTTAACTGGGAGTTTGTTATTGGGATCTCTTCTGGTCAAGGGCACTGGTCTGCTTTCCTTACAACATCACATACAGGACAAAGCCACGCACTTAAGTTCACTGGCCTTCCACGTGAACTTAAGTGGGGAGAGAAGGCAAATAAACAGTGCCTTCCCCAGGTTGGGAAGGGGAGGGATCCTTAATCATCTGCTCTCTCCAAAAGAGGTGGGATTAGAGGATTCTTTAAGAAAATCCCAAGAAACTATAACTGAGTTTCTCTTTTGCCATCAACAAAACAAACAGGCTCCCCTGCATTGTTTAATAAACAATGCTAAGGGTAGTCCAGTTTTAAAAGCTTCTAAAATTTCCAAATATGCTCTGCTTTTATTGGTGGTTTTATTTTCTTGTCGTCGTAATTTTTCAAATGTATTTTTTGGGGGTGAGGTAGAATCCTGAAGTACTGGACAGATAGACAATAAGATGGAAGCCTTTCCTAAATTACATTTTGCATTTTGTTTAAGACCATCTTTACTTAATAGGGGTATTTGTAAAAATGAACACCTGCCTTAGGTTTAGGTTTTGACTGTGAAATACTCCTTCACAAACGCTGGGCTATCAAAAACTGAATTTATAAAGCACCCCTTCAGCCCTCAGGATTAGGAAGGTCAGGTCTATAAAGGTAGGGCATAATTGCTACTTTGTGATATTTGTTACTCAAATGACACTGCTTTCACACACTCGTCAAAAAGGCAAATCCCAAAAAGACCAGTGAAAAAAGGAACTGCTTGAAATATTCACTGTACATACAAAGCAGGTATCACCCATAGGCGCTGATTTTCCTTTTTAGGAAAAGGAAAAATTGACTAAGGTCAATTTGCCCTTAAGGAGTAGAGCGTGGGGGAGGGGGGAAGGGAGAGAGGGAAGGGCATGGTCCAATGTAAAACAAACTGGTGGCATTCAGTCTAAAAGGCGGCTACGCTCCTGAAGTGGTGAGTTGTACCCCTCAGCTGGGTGCGCCAGAGCTTGCCAGAGCCGGGCTGTTCCTTCCTTCTCTGCTTTCTCCTTCCAACCCAGCCTTGAGTTGCAGGGATACAATGGGGAAGGGGGGGTTTCGATGTGGGAATCACCGCCAGGTAGGAAGGGAAACCAGATCCGCCACAAAAGGCAGCAATTAAAGTCTTAAGGGCGACCCATCTGTCGTGGGACGCCCCTTTCCCCTTCCCATCGCAAAGCCGTCCAGCGCCCTTTGTCTGAGCGGAGAAGAAGAGGGGCAGGATCTGTGGCCCCAGAGCCAATGGAAGGGACATTTCCAGCCTGGATGCACCCTGGGTGACGATGCCGGGCCTGGAACCACCGCTCCGAAGGTGTGGCCCGGTCCCGGACCCTCGCCTTTCTCTGCACTTCTCTACTGCTGCTTCCAACTGGCCGGAAGCCACACCAAGACCTAGTGGCTAAGTCCCCTCGCATCCCCCACCTGGCCCTTGGGCTGCCTTCAACTTGCAACAAGATTCAAGCCTCTCCTTTCTTTTCCTCGGCAACTGGGTTTCCCCCAAACCCTCCCAGATGCTCAGCTTCGGTCTTGGGCATCAGGCACGGTCCCTGCCCAGGCCCTTTCGGTTCTCCGGACGCGGGCGAGGCCGGCCCTCACGAAAAGCCAGGGTGAGTGTTTACCTGGCAAATGCCGGGCAGCGAGACAGGGAAGAGGTAATGATTTCAAGTCCATTTCCTAAGACTGGGCATTTGGGGTGGGAGTGGGGGTGGAATTGGTCAGGAGCTCAACAATCCCCTGGTTCTAGTGGGCTTGCATCATCCTCCCAAGAGGCGCACCCGACCCCAATAATCCGTTCTACACGCGGGGATCACTCACCGGGTAGGGAGCACCCTGGCTGCTACTGACTGCCACCTGCTGGGGCGTGCAGATCGCGAGGCCCTCGCTGCCTCTGGCGCTCCTCCGCTGCGTTCTCCCCGTGTAGCCCCCGGTACGCCCGGCCCCGGCCCAGCTGACCCCGGTGTTGACCTCCGCATGGTCGCCGGCTCGCCCAGGGGAGGGACCGGCAGGGCGCGCGCCGCGGTTCCCAGCGCGCTCCTGGCCGCTCCTGCCCCGGCGGCGGGGACCCGCGCTGCTGGAGGAGCCGCAGACGCTGGAGTCTTCCACAAACGCTCCTGAACTCCTCCCTGGAAGTTTGGTCCCAGAGACTGCCTGGACGCGGCAAGGCAAACAGGCCAGGTCTCCGCGCGCTCCGGGGAGTGCGGGCGAGGCTGCAGCCGGAGCTGGGCTCGCCGCCCGCGCTGCTTCCCAGAGGCCGGCGGACACCTCCAGGCGGGAGGCTGGGGGAGGAAATCGATATGTTGTTTCCCTTCTCCACTCAACATTCAGAGCTGAAAACGCTCCGAGAGAGCTCTAGTGAGTGCAGGTCCTTAAACAAACAAACAAACAAACAAACAGACAGACAGACAACATGCTCTCTCCGGGCTCTCCATGGGTACGCACGGAAGCGCACGTGTGTGTGTGTGTGTGTGTGTGTGTGTGTGTGTGTGTGTGTGTGTGTGTAGCCGGGGTGGGATCGGCCCTCACTGGAGGTTCTCTGGGTGCGACACGCGCGTATTCTTTGCAACAACTCCTCTCCAACTCCTCTCCCACTGTGCGGGTGCGGCGTGCGTCCCGGCATCGCGCTCGCAAAACCGCTAACACATCACTAGTCTCTCCCAAGGCCTTTCATTCTCGGGGGCGATCCGGGGAGGCCAGTTACCTGCTGGCGTCTTCCTAGTGAGTGGTCCCGACTCCCTCCGTGTGACCGCAGGGGTTCGGGGTGCAGGGAGCACTCAGCCCCGCGCCCTACGAGCGAAAAGAGCAGCTGCGGAGGCGGCGCGGCTCGGACCCGGGGCCAGCTCCGGTCCCGCGGAACCACGCTGGGGAAACCTGGGGTTTCGCTGCCGGCGGAGGCTTCCTGGCTGCCGCTCTCTGGAGCCTGGCATTTGATAAATAGAGCCCGGCGTTTGCCCTCGCATTAGACTCCGCTTCCTTATTGAGCCCTCGCACAATGATTTTTAGATGATGTCACTTAAGAGCTAAAGGAGAAAATTGATCTCAGGTTTGCTTGGCCTCTAAAGCCTGGTTAAGCAGATTGGGAATTAAAAAGACGGAGGTAAAAGGCGCAGGGGTGAGGGTGGGGTGGAGGGGGTGGAGGGGAGCGGAGTGAGCGCGGAGCGGAGCGCAGCGCCCCCGCCTCCTCTGGGCGGGGGGACGTCCTCGCCAATGAAAAGTAGTCTCTGGCTGCAGAGGGGAAAAAAGTTTTCCTGTGGACGGCTGGAAAAGAATTGAGCAATTATCTAGTTTACCTTCTCCTCTTGGAAGTTAACGATTGGCGAGATCTTGGCTGCGCTTATTGACACAACACTTGCTATTGACAGGAATCAGCAGCGATTGTCCCCGAGTCCTTGGTGCGCCCAGAACTCTGCGATGGGATGGCGGGAGTCCACTGGGCTGGGCAGGCAGGTTCGGCTGGCGCTGCTGGGGAGGAGGAGGAGGAGGAGGAGGCTGCCGGTGGTGGTGATCTCGCCCGTCTCCCTCCCCGCAGGTCTGTGACGAGCAGAGAGCCACCAGGCGACGACAGCCACAGCGCAGCCCGGCCCCGGCGGGCGGACGCCGGCGGCTGCGCCATGGACAGCGGCTGCCACAGCGCGACCGCCAAGATGCTGGCCGCCTCCGCCCCGGCCCGGGGCACCGCGATGGGCGCCTCCAAACCCCTGGCTTTCTCCATCGAGAGGATCATGGCGCGCACCCCGGAGCCTAAGGCCCTGCCGGTGCCCCCCTTCCTGCAAGGAGCAGCCGTGCCCAAGGGGGACTCCAAGCACTCGCTGCATCTTAGCCCGTCCATCCCATGCATGATCCCCTTCGTGCCCGTGGCGGCGTACGACACGGGCCCCAAGACCGGACTGACGAGCTCGGAGCCGCGGAAGGCGAGCCTGGAGCCCCCGGCGGCCGGGCCGGCGGCCGCGTTCAGCTGCAGCGACCTGCTGCACTGCGCGCTGGGCCTCAAGGGCGACCTGGCCCGCGACGCGCTGCCCCTGCAGCCCTACAAGCTGGTGCGGCCGCGAGTGGTCAACCACTCCTCCTTCCACGCCATGGGGGCCCTGTGCTACCTGAACCGGGGGGATGGCCCGTGCCCGCAGGCGGCGGCCGGCGTCAACATCCACCCGGTGGCCTCCTACTTCCTCAGCTCCCCGCTGCACCCGCAGCCCAAAGCCTACTTGGCCGAGAGGAACAAACTGGGGGTCCCGGCGGCCGTGGAGAAGTTCCCCTCCTCGGCGGCCGGGGTAGCTTTCAAAGACTTGTCGCAGGCGCAGCTGCAGCACTACATGAAAGAAAGCGCCCAGCTCCTGTCGGAAAAAATCACCTTCAAAGCCTCGGACTTCAGCCGGGGCTCCCCGAACGCCAAACCCAAAGTCTTCACGTGCGAAGTGTGTGGGAAGGCAAGTATAGGCAGAGAGGCGTTCTCTCTCCCCCCTCCTCCTTCCTCTTAAAATTTATTTCGTAATCATATGTATGCAGTTGTGATAAGGTCACCCCTCTCCTTCCTCTGCTGGATTTTGATTTTATGTCCCAGTTAGTGCGTGTTGGACTAACCTGCCGTGCATGTGTTTGTGTTCACCTTTCAGGTCTTCAATGCTCACTACAACTTAACCCGCCACATGCCCGTGCACACAGGAGCCAGGCCCTTCGTGTGCAAGGTGTGCGGGAAGGGGTTCCGGCAGGCCAGCACGCTGTGCAGGCACAAGATCATCCACACCCAGGTATGGCCATCCGGTTTACTCCGGATTGGCTTGTAGAAAGCGGCCCATAAGCTCGTCTATTTCATGGCCAGGTTTGTTAAAAGCGGGCCCACCGATCACAGGAGGTGCCGGACCTGCATCGCTGGCCTTTGTTCCTCTTAAAAGCTCCTGGGAAAGCATGCCTGGGCCTCTGATTTCACAGGACTGCTGCTTCATACCCAAACACATTAACGCCTGTGCTCTTCCTCCCTCCCTTTAGGAAAAGCCTCACAAATGTAACCAGTGCGGCAAAGCATTCAACAGGAGCTCCACTCTGAACACGCACACCCGGATACACGCGGGCTACAAACCCTTCATCTGTGAATTCTGTGGCAAAGGATTTCACCAAAAAGGTATCATCATGGAGGCATCTTCACGGTAGTTTTACAAAAAAAAAAAAAAAAAAAAAACCCCAGTGGTGTGGGGATGTTTTAGGAGGGAAAAAGATTTTTAAAGCGCGGCTAGTTCGCTGGGTTTGTGGGTTGCCTTTCCAACCTCCTACCTGGAAGTTGGATGAGTCTTAGAAACAAAGAAGGCTGCGTATACCAAGGGGGCATTTTCCCCAACTACTTGCTCTCCTCTTAGATAATTGGATTAATAAATGCAAAGAAAGGTGGAGGGAAGGGCCTCCTGGCTGCTGTTTATAAAAAAAAAAAATGCGGGGCGAGAGGTGCCAGCACCCAGGAGCCCTGCCCTGGCTGTGGGCTGTCCCAGCTGCTGCAGCTCTCCCTCCAGCCGGGCCCTTCCACCCTGGGCGCCCTCCTGCTCCAGCCCTCTTTTCAAACCCGCCTCCCCATCATTTGTGTTTTTCAGGGAATTACAAAAACCACAAGCTGACCCACAGCGGGGAGAAGCAGTTCAAGTGCAATATCTGCAACAAGGCGTTCCACCAGGTGTACAACCTCACCTTCCACATGCACACCCACAACGACAAGAAGCCCTTCACCTGCCCCACGTGCGGCAAGGGCTTCTGCAGGAACTTTGACCTCAAGAAGCACGTCCGCAAGCTGCACGACAGCAGCCTGGGGCTGGCCCGCACGGCGGCCTGGGAGCCCGGGGCGGACCCGCAGCCGGCAGCACAGCAGCCTGCTCCCGCCCCACCGCTGCGGTCAATGCCCGTACAGCTGCCGCCACCAGGGCCTCTGCAGCCCGGGCTCCATCCGCATCCGAGCCACCAGTGACAAGGCCAAAACCCCTTCCCGGTTCAGCCCAGCTCCCCAGCACTGAGGGATCCGCGCTGGTCTGCAGACCCCAGGGCATCTGGGGCCCCACACATTGGCGCCAACCAGAAAGGAGCCTCTGCATCGCTCAGCCTCTGCCTCTTGCATGCACCTGAACCATGTCTCTGTGTATTAAAGTCTATACCATAGGCACTGACAAGTATGGACAAATTGAGGGGGGGGTGGTTTTTCTGATTTTTTTTTTTTAATTTAGAAAGACTTTTCATCTCGGTGGAGAGATGGTGTTTGTTTTTTTGTTTGTTTGTTTTTTAAATTCTGCTGTATTTATTGAGATCTATTTTATCCTACCCAGGAATGCTGCACCATTTTAATTTTATTATTGTATATAGTTTCATTGTGCTGATTCTGTTGTCAAATGCCTGCCAATTGTTTATAATCATTTCCTCTTTCCCTGAAGTAACAATACACTGTGTGTATGTTGCACACACACACACACACACACACACACACACACAGATGAGTGTACCTGGAAAGGCCTATTCCGCACTGAACCCACACACACACACACACACACACACACACACACACAGATGAGTGTACCTGGAAAGGCCTATTCCGCACTGAACACACACACACACACACCCATACACACACACATCAGATGAGTACGGTTCGTGAAGAATGAATTTGAATTTTGCTTTTGATTCCTGCACGTGAACATGGATTCATTGACTGTTAGAAATAAATACTTGGAATGTGCTTATTTAATCATCAGCTTCAGGGCTTTGTTCACATGATTCAGCTGGAGATCTCTAACTTGGGCCGCCTCATCCTTCCTCCTTTTTAAGAAGTTCCTCTCTGTGATAGTTTCACCCTAATACTTGACCTGAGAACTTGATCAAAAGCAAGTACTAGTCTCTCCAAATGTTCCCAGATTTGGTAAAGTGATGAAATGTGATAAAGTTCAGAGGATGTGGCGTTTGGTAACAGAGGCATCATGCCGTGGTCCTGGGCCATCTGACAGGCTTGGTGGGAAGGGAGGGGGGAACCCCATATAGGAAATGCCTGTGACGGACCCCCCAGGGCAGTAGAAACTTGCCTCCTCAGGGGTCGCTATTGTTTGCGTCCTGAAGGGACAGACTGACTTGCGGAAGCTGGCCGGGGAGCCACTGTGTTTTGAGTCCCTTGCATATGTTTGTAGATGAATGTACCTTCACCCAAGGAGTGAGCGCAGATGAAGCCCAAACTGCAGCGGGTGCCAGGCCCTTGAAACGCTTCAAGTGCTAATCAGCAGCGCGCTGCGGGCTTGGGCCCCGGTGTTTTCTCACTGCAAGTCTCTCCTGTCCTCCTGCCAACACAGTGACACAACTGCTAAAGACTTTAATTAAGAGGGGTAATTAGTTCAGGTTTATCAAAGACGGGACGGCAGACTATTAGCTGCTCCGTAGACGCTGCCAGACGGGCTCCCAGCCCAGCATAGACATCCCTCCGCTCAGGGGCCACGCCGGGGAGGGAGCTGGGGGAGCGGGAGGGTCCCTGCCCGGCCACCGCGTCTCCCGCCCCTCCGGCCCCGCGCTCCGGCCCTGCCCCGCTGCAGGGAAAGCCCCGCGGACCCGCACAAACAGCGGGGAAAGCCTTTCCGCGCCCGGGATGAGCGCCCGCACTGCGGCCAGAGAGGCGCCCCGAAGGGGTTTAAACGTGCGGTCCCGCCTCGCTTTTGTGTTCCTTGCAATGGAGCTTAAGGAATCGGGGCGCCCAGAGGGCCACTCTCGGGGTGAAAGACGGAGAGGGGCGAGGCGACAATGTCCTTGGCAACCAGAGCCTCATTCCCAGGCGGGGAAGGATGGATGGCTCAGCGGCCCAGAGCCCAGGACCCAAGGGCTTCCTGGAGGCTCAAGAGGCAGAGGGTGACAGAGCCAGGGCAGGACAGGGGCCCTCGGAACACAGAACCCAAGCCCCACCCTAGCCCCTTTCAGGCTGGGGGTGCAGGTGACCTCCCGCCGGAGTGGGACCACAGGGCCCCGAGATGGGAAAGTCCTGATTCCACCTGCAGACTTCAAAGGCCAGACTCAGGGAATCTTGCCCCAGGTCGTAGGCCTTTCACCCTCCCATGGCCCTGCGGCCCAGCAAGCATTAGATCAGATCCCTAAGCCTCTGTGTCCCTCACCTGAACCGTGTCAGATTGGACTTCGGAGAGATGTGGTTGTTTTGGAATTCCCCAGTTGGGTGGATTCTGAATCTGAATGGCTGGCAGAAGTGCCCTCTCTCCCTGAAGATAGTAGACAACAGGAAAATCTTGTCCCAGGCCCAGGCCACATTCCTACACAGCTGCCCAGCCACAGAGGGAGCTGAGGGACGTGCCCCTAGTTGGTAGGTAACCAACCACCTTTGGAGGTGGCTTAGTCGGATCTTGAAAGCATTTGTTCTCCTTGAGTAAATTGAGTGAGGTGAGGGTTATCATAGGAGGCAGAAAATGGCCTTTGCTTCTTAAACTTATTCTCAGTAATTATTTGAACTTCTTCTCAAAACCCCAGTAGGTAATTCTTCCAGACTTTTAAGGGGACAGGATTTTACTGGTTGCAAACAAAAGGAATAGTGTTGAGGAAAATTGCTAAGCTATAAAATACTTCCAGTTAGGAAATACTTCCAATACATGCCAGTATGCTTTGGCTTATATCGAAAAAGGAAGTCTTCTGTGAAAAAAATAACTGGTCACTGGGGGAAGGAGAGAGAGAGAGAGAGAGAGAGAGAGAGAGAGAGAGAGAGAGAGAGAGAGAGAGAGGAACAGAGAATCTCCTGTTGTAATCGGGAATGACTCTGTACAAGTCTAATTTGGTGCAAGTTACAGAAAAGGCAGGCAAAAGGAAGCAGCTGTCTGTCTGTTTGAGTAGCCTGAAGTGGTGGTGACTAAATAGAAGAAGCTGCAAATAAATTCTCTAAAATAAGCACTCAAGAGATTACTTGTCAGGAGACGAATTATCAATAAACTTTAATTTATGACAAAGCTGGTAGAGCTTCTGACCATCAACGAGCATCTCTTTAAGGCTTGTCTGACTTTAGAGATGAAGTTGGAGGTGGTAAAATGGATGAAGAAGGATATTAGCGAATGGTCAATGGACGACTTTACAGTTCTCTGCCATCTGACAAATATTAAAAGGCAATTTCCCCTCCTTTATTATCTAATCTCTGTGTGTATCTGTGCTTACATGAGTGTTGATGTTTGTTCAGGAAACAGATACTCTAGAAGTACAAATAGCAAGTTGGCTGATCCCAGTCCACCTTCTTTTTACTAGAGTTAGCCGGCAAATTCATGTAGTAAGGCGGAATGGCCAGTGTTCACATCGCCTGCAGGAAGCAATGATTTACCATCAACTCTCTTTATTGGAATTAACTTTTCGTACAGGAAAAGGTGGCCTGTGGGGCTGCAGGGAACAATTTTAGAAATCTACTAACCTGGGGCCTTATGTTTTGTTCAGTTTTGAAAATCAGAATAGAGAACAGAATTAATAATGTAAATTATTCATTCCCTACCAATTTAATTTTAATTCAGAACCCTAATCCTGACTTCTAGTAACTTCATCCCAAAGGATATGGTTTGTTCAGACTTTCAAAATTTTAATTTGAGAACAAGTTATTGTGCAAGATTAAGACTTAAGGTGTCAATTTCTCAGCATCACTTAGAGGCTTCATCAAAGTACTTGTTAGTAAAGTTGTAAGCTTGATGAGTTTCTTTTTTTTAAAATATATTTTTATTGATTTCAGAAAGGAAGGAAGAGAGAGAGACAGAAACATCAATGATGAGAGAGAATCATTGATCAGCTGCCTCCTGCACAACCCACAATGGGTTGTGCCCTTGACTGGAATTGAACCTGGGACCCTTCAGTCCACAGACTGACACTCTATCCAGTGAAACAAACTGGCTGGGGCACTTGGTGAGTTTCTTATCAAGCTTTGCTCTTTTCCAAATGAATCCATCAGACACAATAGAGTCATAACTCCCAGTCATAATACACCCTGCTTGATAGATACCCTTTATATAAGTGCAGTTAGCAATAACAGAAATCATCATTTATTATATTTGGTGATGACTCAAATGACTAAATTATAATTCTAGAGGGTCTATTTTGTCTTTGTAAAGTACTCATCCCAAAATATACAAGATAAAATATGAAATATAAATTATCTTAAATTCAAAATTAGGAAAGAAACAAAGGTTTTCTTTGTTACTTTATAAATCCTTATACTAGGTAAATCTTTGTTTAATTGTAAACATGAAGTTTATAATTTTAAGGGATCATGGCTCAGTCTCTTACCAAATAGTGCATTTTTTAAAGCATGAAAACCTAAATGTTAATGAATAAAAATGTGAAGTTGTTGACTGGTTCCCCCCAAATTTTTTAACTAGATAAGGCATTGTCGTTTTGCTATGACTTGGCTGAAACCATAGATTACTTCCACACTCAAAATTATATGTTTTCATCCAGTTAATTAAAAACAAAACAAAAAACTAACCATATTTGGAAGTAGAAGATATCTTATTATGCATTTGTTTCTAGAAATCAAGGCATGTATCCATTCCAACTCCAGGGCAAATGAACTAAACGCAAAGATATATTAATTAACACACTGGTCATTTGTGTACTCTTGGTGATGAAACAGTTGCCAGTTCAAACCAGTTCAAGCCAGTTCAAGTGAAGGGTTATCTCACTTCAGGAAATAGAGAAGAAGAGAAGAGGAAGTCAGGTGTTTAAATGACCTTGATGGAAAAAATCTACCTCTGTTATTATACTTTTCTGTTTGCATTGTGACATGTTGCCCACAATAAACTTTGAGGAAAAGTCAAAATCCTTCATACACTTGAATGGGCACAAAGTTATCACAAATAATCGTGTACTTTCTGGTCAAGTTTGAGGTGACATTGGTGTCAAATGAAACCATGTTGCTATTGGTCTTATGGAGATTGAGTTACTAAATAAAGATGAAATAGAATTCTGTCAATA